GCAGAAGCCGGCAGCTGGACTATTTGTTATCATCAGAAAACTCAAATCAGACAGGAAATATGGTAGATTCCTGTTGTGCCCCAGGATGTAGAACAGACGCAGACGACATAAGGAATGAGCCATCTACAGGATTCCCCAAGATCCGGAGCGCCGCAAACGTTGGATCATTGTAATAAAACGCGCTAGTGACCGGGCTAAAATGAAGCTGTGGGATCCCGAGAGTAAAGGTTTTCACTTATGCAGCGACCGCTTCATATCAGGTACTTAAACCAACGTTTCCTCAACTGTGTACGGTATTTATTTTAAATGCTTTTATTACGATTCTTAGTGGGCTTCCTAAACTTATTTTGGCGGGGTTTTTTCTGTCTTATTACTCATAGCAGCAAGTAAACATCACGTAAAACGTTGCCTCGTGAGTTCTGCGTGCTGCCGTTTACGTGTTTTATGATCACAGCAATTAACCGGCTAAGCTGTATTTAATTTTTAAGCAATGGTTGATCAATTGTCAGATCACACATAAAAAGCACTTTGGATTGCTATTATCTGTCTCACCGAGACAGATCTCAGACAGATCCTGAGACGCTCCTGCCTGACATATTTATGTTATTCACGGAAACAAATCAGACTAGTGATTTCTCTTGCTCCGGAGTAAGACAAGGGAAAATTAACAAGGAAGTTATAAATGTCAGGGTATCTCAAATCCGGTAAGAGGCCCGCTCCGACAGCTTCTGGCGTTTTTAAAATGTATCCCAGGGGCACGGTAAGGGTCGGAGATGTTTACTCTAATTTCTGACTATATAAAACGATTTCTTCTGTTTTAAAGTGTGAAGTAAACTCCGACGGAGTAAAATCCAAGCCGATCCCGTTCATTTTGTTTACCTTTGTTGCCTGCCAACATGGCGTCTACTCTCTGAGAGTCACGTGACGTCCGGATCTCAATGGTTTTATGTTTTACTAGTGTATTTTAAAAAAGCACAAACAGAAAATCAAAAAAATTAATTTCTAATTTTTGGAGTGCCAGGATCCAATGTAGGCGCTCGGCACTCCCACTAATGGGCCAGTGGTGAGCAGTCAGCCACATGGACAAGCCCTACAGGACACCACATTGCTGCTCCTTATCAAACTAGGAAAACCTTCACTGAGCAAACTAACATATGATTCAAAGCCATGAGGATAAACTGGAGTTTATTAATCCCACAGTGGGGAAATTCACTTGCTACTGCAGCATTTAAGCTTGGTTTATGCTTGATGCGTCCGCGAGGTCCGCACGGACAGATGACGTCATTTCAACACCCATGTCCCTCCGCGTGGACCAAAGTTTCTGCCCAGCTCACCTAGGAAATTTTCTAACCACGCAGACGGTCCTGCATGGAAAAACATGGCAAACTGGCAAGAGCTCGTAGTGCCAGACGTTTTATTAAAGCTACAATGGCAAATTTGGAAAACCAATTAGCGTAAAGTATTTTTTTCATGGTTCTAAAAGCTGTTAAAGCAAATCTACAGAACAAGCCAAGTTTTGAACGCAAACACCGTCTTGGGACCCTCACCCCTCCTCTCAGGTATCTTCCTGAGGACGCTTCTGCCAAAACCCGCGATCCCGGACGAAACCAGATGTTGTTAAGCACCAGTCACTGTTTTCTCTGTCCAGACGTCTTTTGTTGTCCTTGGTATCAAATGCTGTTTTTCTTTTTGGGACTCAGGTAGTTTGTCCTAAAGTTGAAGTGGTAGCAGCCGGCTGTTTCTCCTCTGATGTTATCGAGAAGAGAACCTCTCACGCCAGTGGAGTTCTGTTGCTAAATGCATGACTGTGTCAGGAGTGGAGGACCCAGGATAGTGTAATGGTTGTATGGTCCATATGAAACATGTTCATGAAGTTCACAAAGTGCATCAAATGTGTCTGTCATGATGTGGATTCATCACTTTTATTTATACACTATCTGTATTTAGAATATGCTGCAGCGCCTCCAGCCGCTGCTCTCTCTAGGTCCTCAGAGGTGGTTGTACTCTACTTTCCTAGTTTGTGATGTCACAAATGGGGGCATTTTAAACAGGCTTGTTTTAGGTACATGATTCCCAAAACCAAACTCAGACAGAAAATGAATAGAAGGGTTCTTTAAACATTACAGATGCAGTAGAGATCCAGGAATAATTCTAATCACCTCAGAATTGTGCATCTTATCCATAATGCAACCTTTTGTCCCCCCCCCCCCCCCCCCACACACACACACACACGCACTTATATTTATATGTTTGTGTGGACCTCCATTGACTTCCATTCAATTTTGTGACTCCCCTATGCGTAACCCATACCCTAACCCAGGGAATCCCAAAGTGTGGTGCGCGCACCCCTGGGGGTGCGCGAGCTGCCGCTACGGGTGTGCGCGAGGTGAAAAGTGTAATGGCTGCGGAGCTCAGAGAAGTCTGTCAAAAGTCACCATTAGCGTAGCCAGAAACTCATTTGTGAGTGGGCCAAAGGAAAATGTAAGTGGGCCCAATAAATGTAATTGAAAACCAGTATATTTTGCTTGTGCGTGTGTGTGGTGTGTGGTGTGTGTGTGTGTGTGT